AAAGTAGCGTAGAATTTCGAATTATGTGTTCGATTATGAGTTTTGAAAATAGTTTTTGAATTGAATTTTTAGTTATGTATTTGGTTACGATTTGAGTGTAGAGTTTTGAAAGTAGTGTAAAATTTCGAATTATGTGTTTGAATATAAGTTTTGAAAATAATTTTTGAATTGAATTTTGAGTTATGTGTTTGGTTGTGATTTGAGTGCGGAGTTTTGAAAGTAGCGTAGAATTTCGAATTATGTGTTCGATTATGAGTTTTGAAAATAGTTTTTGAATTGAATTTTTAGTTATGTATTTGGTTACGATTTGAGTGTAGAGTTTTGAAAGTAGTGTAAAATTTCGAATTATGTGTTTGAATATAAGTTTTGAAAATAATTTTTGAATTGAATTTTGAGTTATGTGTTTGGTTGTGATTTGAGTGCGGAGTTTTGAAAGTAGCGTAGAATTTCGAATTATGTGTTCGATTATGAGTTTTGAAAATAGTTTTTGAATTGAATTTTTAGTTATGTATTTGGTTACGATTTGAGTGTAGAGTTTTGAAAGTAGTGTAAAATTTCGAATTATGTGTTTGAATATAAGTTTTGAAAATAATTTTTGAATTGAATTTTGAGTTATGTGTTTGGTTGTGATTTGAGTGCGGAGTTTTGAAAGTAGCGTAGAATTTCGAATTATGTGTTCGATTATGAGTTTTGAAAATAGTTTTTGAATTGAATTTTTAGTTATGTATTTGGTTACGATTTGAGTGTAGAGTTTTGAAAGTAGTGTAAAATTTCGAATTATGTGTTTGAATATAAGTTTTGAAAATAATTTTTGAATTGAATTTTGAGTTATGTGTTTGGTTGTGATTTGAGTGCGGAGTTTTGAAAGTAGCGTAGAATTTCGAATTATGTGTTCGATTATGAGTTTTGAAAATAGTTTTTGAATTGAATTTTTAGTTATGTATTTGGTTACGATTTGAGTGTAGAGTTTTGAAAGTAGTGTAAAATTTCGAATTATGTGTTTGAATATAAGTTTTGAAAATAATTTTTGAATTGAATTTTGAGTTATGTGTTTGGTTGTGATTTGAGTGCGGAGTTTTGAAAGTAGCGTAGAATTTCGAATTATGTGTTCGATTATGAGTTTTGAAAATAGTTTTTGAATTGAATTTTTAGTTATGTATTTGGTTACGATTTGAGTGTAGAGTTTTGAAAGTAGTGTAAAATTTCGAATTATGTGTTTGAATATAAGTTTTGAAAATAATTTTTGAATTGAATTTTGAGTTATGTGTTTGGTTGTGATTTGAGTGCGGAGTTTTGAAAGTAGCGTAGAATTTCGAATTATGTGTTCGATTATGAGTTTTGAAAATAGTTTTTGAATTGAATTTTTAGTTATGTATTTGGTTACGATTTGAGTGTAGAGTTTTGAAAGTAGTGTAAAATTTCGAATTATGTGTTTGAATATAAGTTTTGAAAATAATTTTTGAATTGAATTTTGAGTTATGTGTTTGGTTGTGATTTGAGTGCGGAGTTTTGAAAGTAGCGTAGAATTTCGAATTATGTGTTCGATTATGAGTTTTGAAAATAGTTTTTGAATTGAATTTTTAGTTATGTATTTGGTTACGATTTGAGTGTAGAGTTTTGAAAGTAGTGTAAAATTTCGAATTATGTGTTTGAATATAAGTTTTGAAAATAATTTTTGAATTGAATTTTGAGTTATGTGTTTGGTTGTGATTTGAGTGCGGAGTTTTGAAAGTAGCGTAGAATTTCGAATTATGTGTTCGATTATGAGTTTTGAAAATAGTTTTTGAATTGAATTTTTAGTTATGTATTTGGTTACGATTTGAGTGTAGAGTTTTGAAAGTAGTGTAAAATTTCGAATTATGTGTTTGAATATAAGTTTTGAAAATAATTTTTGAATTGAATTTTGAGTTATGTGTTTGGTTGTGATTTGAGTGCGGAGTTTTGAAAGTAGCGTAGAATTTCGAATTATGTGTTCGATTATGAGTTTTGAAAATAGTTTTTGAATTGAATTTTTAGTTATGTATTTGGTTACGATTTGAGTGTAGAGTTTTGAAAGTAGTGTAAAATTTCGAATTATGTGTTTGAATATAAGTTTTGAAAATAATTTTTGAATTGAATTTTGAGTTATGTGTTTGGTTGTGATTTGAGTGCGGAGTTTTGAAAGTAGCGTAGAATTTCGAATTATGTGTTCGATTATGAGTTTTGAAAATAGTTTTTGAATTGAATTTTTAGTTATGTATTTGGTTACGATTTGAGTGTAGAGTTTTGAAAGTAGTGTAAAATTTCGAATTATGTGTTTGAATATAAGTTTTGAAAATAATTTTTGAATTGAATTTTGAGTTATGTGTTTGGTTGTGATTTGAGTGCGGAGTTTTGAAAGTAGCGTAGAATTTCGAATTATGTGTTCGATTATGAGTTTTGAAAATAGTTTTTGAATTGAATTTTTAGTTATGTATTTGGTTACGATTTGAGTGTAGAGTTTTGAAAGTAGTGTAAAATTTCGAATTATGTGTTTGAATATAAGTTTTGAAAATAATTTTTGAATTGAATTTTGAGTTATGTGTTTGGTTGTGATTTGAGTGCGGAGTTTTGAAAGTAGCGTAGAATTTCGAATTATGTGTTCGATTATGAGTTTTGAAAATAGTTTTTGAATTGAATTTTTAGTTATGTATTTGGTTACGATTTGAGTGTAGAGTTTTGAAAGTAGTGTAAAATTTCGAATTATGTGTTTGAATATAAGTTTTGAAAATAATTTTTGAATTGAGTTTTGAGTTATGTGTTTGGTTACGATTTGAGTGTGGGGTTGTGTTTTGAGTTTCAAATATTAAAATTAAAATATTTACAAAATAAAATAAAATATTTAAATAAAAATTATATATTTAAAATAAAAAATAATTTTTTTTAAAACATTTTTTAATATTTTTAAAAAATAAATCTAAAAATACTGTTCCAAACACTCTAAACTTATCCTCCAATCCAAAAACATTTTTTAATATTTTTAAAGGGAAGGGCAATAAAGTAATTTTTGAAGGAAAAAGTGACACCGTTTAGTGATTTTTGACAGCAGGGGGGAATCTTGATATTGTCAGGTAAAGTAGGGGAGGTTACTGTAATTATTCAAACCACAGAGGAGGTCCCTGTATTTGTCAGAAACCTCAGGGGAGGTAAATGTAATTTACCCTAAATACATTTATACGTCAAATTATTAATAAAAATCAATACAAATTAAAAATAAGAAAAAATCATATTCAAAAAAAAAATTTAACAAATTTCGTTTGTAATGAATTCATAACTAGAGTCCACTAATATTGTAGTACTTGCGTTGTTGCAATGAGTATAAGTATAATCTTTCTAGGTAAAAACATAAAAAATATAAAAAAATGAAATTGAAAATATATGGTAATGAGAAACTGAACAAATTAAAAAAAATCGGTTTGGGGTTACCGGAAATGTATCTTTTATTCAGTAGTTGGTTACTAGATTTATATTTTTTGTTCGACAATGTGATGTCGGACTATTTTATTTTGTTCGATTTCGAACCATTGAACGAAAGTTAAATACCAGTTCAGAAAAAGAAATAAAAACCTACCAAATAAATAAAAAAAAGTCACAATTTCACTTTTTTATGGTTTTTCATCGCCGTTTCTGCATCAATTGCTTTCTTTACTGATTAAAATACTATAATTCTCACTTTTTGAAAAAAGATACGTTAGAAGAAAGAAAATTTAAGAAAGGAAAAAAAGAAGTAGGGATTGAAAATTAAGGAGTGTAAGGAGATAACAAAATATATTTAATTTTAGTGTTTTGTCCTTAAAAGGTATTTCATGCGTGGATTAAAAAAAGAAAAAAAAAAAGGCTCATATGAAAAGTGTAAAGAGATAAAGTAGTGATGTAAGTAGAATCACCCTTATTTATTTATCAAATATAAGTGTTAAAAACTTATTTCCATTTTTAAGCAGTTTGTGGCTAACTGTTAAACCTAGGTCGTTTTATGAAGTATTTTTTTGAGAAGTGCATTATAGTTGAGAATATATAATAAATATGGTATGAGCAAGTTATATCACTTGTGAGTTTGATTATCATAAATGATATAATTCAGTACTATGTGAGTCATAATTAAAAAAAAAAAAAATTGAATTATGACTGACTAATTTTTAGATCATAATAAAAAATTTGTCATAACTAATATCATAATATGTCATAACTAATAATACAATAGATTATAAATATTGCAAAGATGGTAGTAAAAAATGTATATGCTACACAAATTTCCCCTATAATATAATAAGTTGAAGGAGGTTCTTACAGGATCTTGTGGTGCAGCATTCACATAATGTTTACTCGAGAAATTTGTTATTTACGGTAGAAAGCTTTATCATAATGTTGCTCTACAAGTATTTCTCATAATGTTGCTCTACAAGTATTTCTCAAAATAAATAATAATAATAATAATAATTATGTTGCTCTACAAGTGGCATGTAAAGAGGTTGTTAAAGTTATAAAAAATGAAAATAATTAATTATTGGAAAAATTATTTAAAAAAAAAAGGTTAGGGTTTGACTTTGTAACAAAATAAATCTTTAATCCTTAATTTTATCAATTTAAATCCTTTTTGTTTTTAACTTAAATTATTTATTTATTTTTGTTAAGTAAAATGGATAAAAAAAAACCGAGCATTTTAGCTATTGAAAAAGTGTAGTTTAGACATTTTATATCCATTTCATTGAGTTTAGTGGTTATTTTTTATTATTATTAGTTTTACTTGCGCTATATTTAGTCAGGAGATTTGAGAAGGAATTTGAAAAAAAGAAAGGGAAAAGGTAGGCGAAAATTTTACCTTTTCTCTTTTTATTTTTTAAATCTCCCAACCAAATATAACGTTATTGAAAATAGGTGAATGACTTAAATTGAAAACAAATTAAAAAATTAGTGTTTAAATAGACAAGATTAAAAAGGGCACTCGATTCATAAATCTAAATATCAATTTTGTTTATCCAAAGGTCCAAGTGCTAAATTATTTTGTTCAAAGGGACAAGCTTTAATTAAAATGATTAAACAACCCTTATATATATCATATACACACGGTTCAAGTCACACACACCCTCTCATCCTATCCAAACCCTATCCTTTCTCTCTCTCGGCGTTGCTTTTAGCGCCGCTACTTCCTCCGTCACCACCGCTTCCTTCCTCACTCGTTGGTGGTGTCACCTTCGCTCCCTCAGCTTTGTCTCTCTTCTTATCTTCATTTTCTCTTCCCTACCGATCTGAGATCAGTTATTTGTTCTGCTGATGGCTCCTCCACCCTTCATCCAAATCAATCGATCTCTTCAGCATACAAGCAAATCAGAAACCCGAAGATCAACATTTTCTTTCGATCCCCAAACCTAATCACACTTAGTCCAAAAAAAAGGAGATTCAAAACAAGATTTATTGAAATCGACAACAGTGTTTTTCCAGAGAAGCAGAAAAGTACGGTGGCTGAACAACTTGTAATGTCCAACTGGCTGAGAACCATTGTTAGGGTTTCGTCTTCGTCGTCAGATCCTATCAAGGTTCTTTGATTTGAGACAGAGAAGCTTAACGAATCGAGATCGGGATCGTGATTTCGTGATCGTAACACGAATGCTCTCTATGATTCAAAAAAAAAAAGAGATCGTGATTTGTTGAACATAATTTGAGCTCTTTGTGATTCCACCTGCGATTCTCTTAAACCTTGCCAACAAACTCTGCGATTCACTTCTTGTATGAAGAAGTGAAGAAAGAGTAATGTTCGGATACTAGTGTTTTATAAATGTCGTTTCACATAGAAGTTTGGTACTTCCTCCGTCTCAAAATATTAGTTCCTTATTTCATTTTTTATTGTCCCAAAATATTAGTCCCTCTTTATAAATCAAGTACAAAAATAATGTAAATTTTCTATTTTGCCCTTCTTTTAAACTAATAAACAATTTAAAAAGTACAATTATGACATTGATATTCTCAAAAAATGTACTATCAAAAGGGTAATTTTGGAAAACTAACTTTTTTCAAATGCAATAAGTGTACTACCAAAAAAAGTTGGATTCCCCAAAAGGGACCAATATTTTGAGACGGAGGGAGTAATATTTAATAAGGAAATGGATATGTTTAACTTTTGGGATTTGGATGCAATAAGTTAAATAGTTATTAAGTGTATTAGAGCGTCCCTAATAGAACCTTATATCCTCTCCTTACCTATTTTAAGGGGTTTGATGGCCCCTATACACTTTCATCACCTCCCTTAAACACTCTCTTAAAATAGGAATTGCTACAGTGCCTCCCTATTTGTAGGGAGTCACTGTAGCTCCCTTATATTTTTTTTTCTCTTTTTCTGGCTTTGTTTTGTTTAGGGACTGCAGTACACATTTAAGATTTTTATTTTTTTTAAATTTATAATTAAAAATTATATTTTAATAGAATATAGAATTTGTTAATGGAATAGAAAAAGAATAGGGAGTTTGTTGGAAGAAGTAGATGAAAAAGTGATTCTTAAAATAGGAAATGAATTTTTTAATAATATTTTAGAGTAAAATATAAGTAATCTGGTAGGGATACTCTTAGAGATGTTGGTCTTGTTTTTTGTTTTTGGAAACAAATACAATGCAATAGCTTTCGTATCATTTTGGAAATTTTGCAAGTGTTGACAACTCTTTGTCGATTTCGAAAAAATGTCTATGTGTGACCTAATCTTAATTAATGGAATTATTCGATCACTGTCTAAGTCTCTGAAATCTTCGAAGTTGTTTGACAATGCCGTCCAATGGAGTGTTCGAAATATTAGTGATTCTAGAAATGGTGATGGTAGTGGTGATTGTTGTTGACAGTGTGGTAATGTTCGAAGATATAAATTTTTGAATAGATAGGATTTGGTTTGGCTTGATATTTTGACAGATAGAAAAAAAAAAATATAGAAATCTGTTTTAAGCTTGTTGTTCAAATAAGAAATTGAACAGATATGAATAAAATTTGAAGTGAGAAGATTATAAAATTGAACATATAGGGTAAAAAAATTGAACAAATAAGAAAAAAATTCAACACAGATATAAATTTAAAAGATAGAAAAAAATTTGAATAGATATGAAATTTTTTTGAACAGATAGAAAAAAATTTTGAACAAATAATCAATGAAAGTCAACAGATAAAAAGAGTCAACAGATAAAAAAAAGTCAACAAATAAATTAATGAGTAAAATTGAAAACAAAATGTCCTTCAAAACCAACAAAAAGACTTTTCTCTAAACTATTTCACAAAAGATAAACTTCTCACTAACAAAAAAAATATTCACTGGATTCAATGCCTTAGACACTCTCTAAATTGGATTTATCACCAATTTTCTCAATTAAAATTTCAAGATTTATTTTGTTATAATGATTAAATTCTAAGATTTTTTTTCTTGTAATTTTTTCTTAATTATTTAGCTAATAAGAGTTCTTTAATGTTATGTTTGGTTGAGAGGTTTGGAAAGATAATTAGAAAAAGAAAGGAAAAATGTGTGTGAAACTATGTGAAATATAGATATATTTTATTTACATTTCACATTCTTTTTTCATTTCTCTTTTCAAATCATTTTCCAAATTCCTTAATTAAACACAGCGTAAAAGGGACATTTATTTATAAATTCCTATTCACTTACTTTTGTTCCATTTACTTTAAATTATTTTTTTATATTCTAATACATCCTACGAGTGACATAAATATCAAAATATCTCTAATAATAATAGGGTGGAGCGCATATTAATGTTCACGTTGACAATATGAATGTTCCGTGGTGTGAACATTCGTATTGTTAAATTTATTTAATATGAATATTCACATCATCAAATTTCTAAATATTTAAAAAATATTTATAAAAATAAAATTATTCATAAAATATCTTAAATATGAAAATTAAATCAAATATTTAAAATAGTGATATTTGTTAATATATAAAAATATCTTATAAATTAATTGACGTACCTAAAACAGAATTTTTTTAATAAATTCTCCAAAATTAAAAAAAGGACAAATTACAAACACTCTCTCGAGATTTGGTAGAAATATAAATTTTCTTGAGCTTTGAGAAATTACAAATTATTTTCTGAGAGTCAAATTTTCATAATAAATTAAAAAAAATTAAGAAAAAATCTATATAAAAATAAAAATTTCAAAACACAATTAGTTATGAAAATATAAATCTCAATACAATTTCTCAAACTTCAAAAAAAATCTATATTTTTGCCCAACCTCTAGCAGCGTTTGACCCCAAAAAAGAGTACCAAGCATTATTCAAAAAATAATGATTGAAAAGTCGAAACCCATCGCAACCTCCTCCATCCACCAGTCATACATACGGTGACGACGACCCACAGCGCACTTATCTGTTAGTTAGAATAAGCTCTTTTCTCTAAAATACGCCTTTGAGGACCATCACAACTCTCTCTGTCTCTCTTCTCTCTCCTCTCTCATCACACACGTACCCAAAAATGGGATGCTGTGGCGACGAAGAAGACGACGAGATCCTCCAACCACTCCAACCCCAAAACACCCAATCTCAAACCCTAGACCCCGCCTCCGCCGTTCTGTCTCCGATGAATTCGAATTTCGAAGCCCTAGTATGCAAAGACATCCTTCGGACCATCTTGGAGAAGCTCCCGCTGATCGATCTAGCTCGGTCGGCCTGTGTCTCCAGGCTATGGTTCTCTGTGGCTTCCGACCGAGATATCCAAACCAAGGCCTTCAAGTCGCCCTGGAAGTTGAAGGACGTTATGGGAAATCCCAGCTCCGGGAGCTTCTGGAGAGGCACTAGTCTCGGCCGCTTCGCCATTTCTCACCGCTTGCTTCGCGGAGACACCATTGCTAGCCTCGCTGTCAAATACTCTGTTCAGGTCTACTCTCTCTCTTAGGGATTCACATATGTCATACTTTGATTTTGTTCATCGATGCCTTTAGAAATGGAAGTTTTGTAAGAGATCAACTTTTTGCATTTTTAGGGATCTTTGACTGGAATTAAATATCGTATCAAAACTTGTGCATAGGTTGTGTGTAATCTGCTCCAAAAAAAAAAAAAAAAAAAACTCAGTCTTCGTTGTTGTACAAGTTGTTTTGTTGATCCCATCGACAAATTAAGAACTGAGATCATTGTGAAGCGTTAGGATTGATAATAGATTGTTAAAATTTGCAACAACTTGATATTTTCAGGTAAGTGCACAAAAGAATTGAAGTAATAAATTCATTGAAGGGCATAGCATAGGTTTGCAAAAGAGGGTCAAAATAATACATTTGATTTGAGCTTTTGGATTGCTCTTATCAGACTTGAGTACATTATTTTAGGATGAAATTAACATCATGTCAACTCAAGTCAACTCAACTAAATAAGCCTTTGGCCCTGTTTGGTACAGCTTTTTTTCAGCTTTCAGCTTAATTTAAACTATTTTGATGTGTTTGGTTTAGCTTAACAATGCAACTTATAATTTTTTGTAAATCAGAAATCAGTTTATTCTTTGAGTGGGGCAGGTGAATCTTAATTCATAAATCAGAAATCAGCTTATGTTCATAGTTATAAGTTATAAGCTGTTAAGGTATAAGGTATAAGCTATAAGCTATAAGCATTTTCCCACAGCTCTACCAAACAGGGCCTTTGTCCCTTTTTTCAACAAAACAGTGGACCACAAACCGTCACGGTCTAGATGGATAGCATTTACGGACTACATCACTGGTCTAGGCATTGAAGTATCTTTAGAACACATCATTGGTTCTGACAATACTCTTGCTGATGCCCTCTCCAGACTTGTTTATCCATTGTTTTCTTGTACAGAATGGCCAACAGAGGTGGAGCCGGACGATAATTACTTGGGAATCAGATGGCTACTCTAATTTATTTTCTTCTTGCTTGATTAAAAGTAATGTCTTTAGTTGAGTTTTCCGGACACCCTGTGCCAATAAAAAAAAAAAAAAAAAAAAAAGCCTTTAGTTGAGTTTAAGACTCCATCTTAATATACCTCTAATTTTTAGGGTTAAATACACTTTGTATCCCTGTGGTTTAATCAGAAATCAGCTTATGTTCATAGTTATAAGTTATAAGCTGTTAAGGTATAAGCTATAAGCACTTTCCCACAGTTCTACCAAACAGGGCCTTTGTCCCAATTACTTGGGAATCAGATGGCTACTCTAATTTATTTTCTTCTTGCTTGATTAAAAGTAATGTCTTTAGTTGAGTTTTCCGGACACCCTGTGCCAATCAAAAAAAAAAAAAAAAAAAAGCCTTTAGTTGAGTTTAAGACTCCATCTTAATATACCTCTAATTTTTAGGGTTAAATACACTTTGTATCCCTGTGGTTTACCTTAAATCCTACACTAGTTCCTCATTTTTTAATTGTATGAAAATGCAGTCAAGTTATAATGTCACCTTTCTATGAGTTGTCATCATATGGGATGATGGAAAATGCACATGTGGCGTATATGTGGCACTCTCTTCAAATGCCATCTGGATATTTTTTTGTCAGCCATGTAATGACAACTCATGAAAGGTTAATATTGTAACTTAATTATAAGTATAAGGGGTTGATTTGAGGGACTTATGTGGGATTGAAGGTAAAGTGCAAGGGTGCAAAATGTGTATAATCTCTTTATTTGTATTTTCAACATGGATCATATCATATCATATCACTCTTCCTTACAAATGTGTTAGTTGGTGTATCTTGTCCTTTCTAACTTCTCTTAACGCATTCATTCCTTGTTCTATCTTCATAACATTTTTTCCCCATACATCATAACATACCATACCTTGTAATATTCTTTTAATACCTGCCTTTCAATATAATGGGGATCATACATCACATAACACTCCTAATGCATTCTTCCATTTCATCCTAACCCTTTGTAATTCTATGAGACACTTATCAATCTCTCATTCTTTACCAATAATTAATCCTAGATATCGAAATGCTCACACTTAGGTATCTCTTAGCCATCAAGTTCTATTTTTTATTTATTTTTATTATGGTTTTGCTAAGATTACGCTATATGTTTTTAGATTCTAAAATCTCTCTCCATAATTCAACCTTAAAGTCCACACCACCTCTCATCTCATCAATTAAAACTATATATCTACAAGCAACATACACAATCTAAACTTGGGATTCACTCCGCCTCCTGTATCTTTAATTTAAACTATATATCCACATGGACTCACAAGCAACTAGGGGATATCCTCTTTAAACAAGGTCATGAAGTTAATGAAAATGACAATTCATATGTTCTAATGATTATTATTAGTTTTTTATATCATGTTGAGCCTATATGCTTCATTGTACTTGTGTTGTGCCCCATCAAGTGTCTTTTTCTTATTTGATATTTAACCCAAAAATATTAACACTATCTTAACCATTTCACTCAAAGGATATAAAAAGAATGACTACAGAAACCTTGAAAAAGTTCCTCAATGTTGTCTTGATACCTTTTGGATCTAGACATCACATTGGAATTATTATTCTTATCTCTTGTAATTTCAACTATGTTATTACTTACTAGTAGAATGTGTGAAGTTCATTAACTATCTGGCAAGGCTTGCACCTTAAGTTAGCCTTGCATTTTGAGGCGTATGAAGTTTGGAGAACGTCAGAACTAATAGCTCTTGTGTAGAGGCAATAATCAACCATAATCCATGTGATACATGATCCAATCCACTACCTCCATTTCCACTCTAAGCTTATCATTTTGATAACATACAAGAAGGAGCCTCAATTTTGATGGCTTTATGCAAGGTTTTAAAAAGCGGCCGCAACCGTTACGTAATGCCGTTACGTAACGGTTGTGGTGGTTATCATCACCCGTTACGGCCGTTTTTGCAGTGTGATTGAGATTTATAGGTGTGTCGGCTGTAGTGGTCGCCGTAGCGGTCGTCATAACGGTGCTGTAACAGCCGTAATGGCCTGTTACGTACTGTTACGTAACGGTTCTGAACTGCTTCTTTATAAAAAAAACACAAAAAAAAAGCTGAAAATGGAGGAAGAGGGATAAAGAGAAGAGGGAAGATCAAGAGAGAAGATGGAGGAGCAAGAAATAGAGAGAAGAGGGAAGATGAACATGTTATTGATTTGTTGAAGCTGTAAGACCTATGCTATTCTATTCAGCTGCTATCACTCAACCATTTTGTTTGTGTGTGTCTATCTATATATTGGTAATTATCTGTTTGGCTTGGTTAAAATATGCATATATATAAATTTAGGCTCTTATTTATTCTTTTACTTTTGTTATTGTATGTCTTATATATAATAGTTAGTGATTGATTTTTTGTTTAATATAAAATCATTAATTATTAAAATAAAATGTAACAAACTCAGTTTATAGTGATTTTAAAATATGAAATATATTGGATCATACTTAAAAATTTACAAAAATTGATCAATATTTATTTTAAACCCAATAAATATGATCATGGAAAAAAAATATGCGTATCGGTAAATTTTTTTCAAATCATGCGAAAAATAAAAAAATTCACAGTTCCGGTTAGCGCAACCGTTATGTTACGGCCTTTACATCCCGCAACTGCAACCGCGCCACCGCCACCGTTACGGCAACTGCAACCGTTTTTCAGAAGCTTGGCTTTATGCCTTCTCAAGACACTAGACTTTGTTCCTTGGCCAATCTCATGTCTAAATTCTTTTTGCTAGTTGCTACCAACACCTCATCCAAAATCTGCATTCCCTGAAAAAACATTTGAGAACCTGAAACGATCTTATTGCACACACAAAACTTGTTATAGCTGCATGGGTTGCTTCTCATGTTAGATAAATGTTTAGAAACATTTGCCCTGGTCACCCTAGAAGTAATAAGCCAGTTGGTCCAGTGTATGATTGAAGAATTGAAAATTCTTCTATCAGTATCTAGCCTGCCTTTTCATGGCAATGTTTGTTTCTTCTGGATTTGCACTTGATTGCACAAGGTTTTCTCATTTTGAACTTCTTTTTACTACAGAGATTTTTGCACCCTATAAGTATATACCCTCTTTCCTCTGTAAGTAGTTTGAAAGCAGATGTGTTAACATTCGACATTACTATTTCCTGTATCTGTAGGTTACGGACATAAAACGCCTAAACAATATGATGAGTGACCATGGCATACACTCAAGGGAGAGGTTGCTGATCCCTTTGAGCAACTCAGACCTTCTGATTGGTGGCACGTGCTACATAGAGCTGGATATTTATGCCAAGAGGGAAGTGGCTGTACTCTATTTGGAGGGTGGCCCTGACGGGAAGGTCAACCACCTGTTGAATAAGGTGTCCTCTGATCGAGGCAAGAAAAGGATAATTGACTCCTTGAAGAGACGTATGCAAGTGGATGATGGAACTGCTCAATATTACTTGTCTATATCAAATGGTGACCCCCGAGCTGCACTTACAGAATTCTCCGAGGATCTTACGTGGGAGAAGCAGGCTGGATTGGCCTAGATTGAAACAAATAAAATAAATGGAGAGGCTCGAACTTGTTGGAAATTTGTACAACATGGTGAAAAGGGACACGATCAAGCTTGACAAATGGGATGCCATTATATCTCACGTTCGGCTGCATGCTGTATAGTTTCCTGGGGCAAGTATTATGAAGCATTTGTATGTGTGATCCCTAATAAGCTGGAGGAAATTTGAACATACAGTAAGGTTTGTCCTATTCTGTTATTGTTGCAAGATCTGAGCTACAACTTTGTAATCATATATAATTCAACATAATGAAATTTGTCCAGAATGCAATTTGAGATATCAGTTGATGTGTCCTTGATTGAACTGCTGTTGTTTTATAGGAAGTTGAATTGCCACCAATGATTCAAATTGACTGTTTTATTTTTCATGGGAATACCAATGTTGGACCTTGTATGTGTGTCAGGATCTCATGGTTCTCTAATTTCTAAAGCTACTGACTTATTTGTAGCCAAATCAAATGAAATGTTGTATGGAATGGGGCTATTGTAGGGCAACACCAAGTTCGAAACTCATTCAACTATAGGGGCGTTTGGAATGAAACTTTCATAGTTTTTTGAGTTGAAATAGTACTAAAAGATAAAATAGACTAAAATAATTAATAAGATAAAATGTCACATCAAATTTATATCATTTTATTTTTTTCTCTCGTAAACATCACATCTAACCACAGAAAAATTTAACATTCTTTCCAAACACAATTATTTTAACTTATTAAAATAGTCAAAAACTAAAATAATCTATTAAAATAGTCACATTCCCAATCGGAGCCTATTATAAAAAAGGAAGAGACCACAGAGAAATTATAAAAATCTCACAATATGTGGATTTAAAAGTAAATTTGCCCAATTCTAATTAAGGCATTGTTGTCAACTATATATTTTAACTAAAAAGTTAAAATATCACTATAAATTGTCGCATCACTTTCTCTATTTTTATACACATTTTTTCATAAAAGTAAAAAAATTACTAAAATAGTTTGTTTCTAAACAAGGCCTAAATGTTGAAACTACCTTCTCCTTGCTGCCTATTTTGCACCTCAACAATGCTACGTAGCTCAAATTTTGTGGCTCAAAAGTAGCTCAAATGGCCAAAACGACGTCGTTTTGAGTACAGAACAACATAAAAATGGCCAAAACGACGTCGTTTTGACCATTTGAGTCACTTTTGAGCCACAAAATTTGAGCTACGAGACATTTTCCTTTGCCACTAATATTTTTTTGGAACTAATTCACTACTGCAGCAGTGCTGATGAACTTCAACAAAATAAATAGATAAATAAAAATCAGTTTTCAGTCATTCATAATACATCAAAAGGGTCCCAAGCTTGAACAATGGGTTGAGTTTTGTGCGAATTTTTGATTTTAAACTCAACTACTTTATTAATATTTACTTTATACTTCAACATAACCTGACAGTTTAGAACTACCCTTCTACTCGACCTTAACTTATCAATGATCTCCCAAACCTTTTCTATTAGAATCGAGTTGTGTCAAATACAATCGGGTCAAATACCATGCCAGAAAAATTGAAGGAACAAAAAAATGCAATTAATCTCTCATGTAGTTAAGCCACACAATGCAATCTTGTATGGCACAGCAGAAGAGAAAGCAAAAGGAAGGAGAAACATTGAGCTGCAGAAAGGAATATGACAAGTTGAGTCTGAAAGCAAAACTTAAAATACAGATATTTCTCGTCCGAGAGTAAATACACATGTATCTCCATGGCGATTGTACCAAATTAAATTCCTAGGATAACTTAAAAAAGATGCCAAGCCCTAATAATGATTGAAAAATGTGTTCACTTTTCATACTTAAAAGAGGAAAACAAAACTATATTATCCCCTGTTTATCTAGGTGTTGTATAACACAAATTAAGATTGAGGCTAGTGAGATAAAAAACTTTCAGAGCCTCTAATCATGACACTAACATATTTTCAGCCACTAATAGTTTGCTTTCGTGGAACATAACATATATATATATATATATATCACAGCTGGGAAACTTAGTCAAGAGCTTGGCTGGTATTGCATATTGTGGATGTTGAAGTAGGTGCACTTTCTGTCAATGAGGCCAACTCCTTTTCCTGCCGTTCCTTCAGAAAGCTCTGTGCAGTTTCTGTCACGATCTTCATGGCAAAGTTCATAAGCATGAGCCACACAACAGTGTTCCAAACTGATGCAAGTGACAAGTCCCACTTCTTGTCCTAAAAGAAAAAGGGCGGAAATTAAGATGAAAAAGATGCACAATTATTCACGTTAGATTTCGATATAGATTGCAGTATTAAATGAATTATTTGAAGTGAATTTGTATTTAACACATCACTTGGTAGTTTAAAATGATGAGAAAGAATTTTTAAATTATGATTATGTTTAAACATGATAGTTTATACTGTTAAAGGTTATTATTGACGGTTACAACTCTTTGAAGTTAATTCTAATTATTAGAAATAACTATGTTTTGAAATTAAAATGAATCATTTAAATTAAAAGGCATTTTATTTCATTTTATCATGCCTTTTAATGAAGAGTTGTGAACTTATTATATCGACGAAAGGGTGCTTTGTTAACCCTTGACTCTATTAATAGGGAGTAAAATCTATAACTAAAAATGTTGAAAACTTCACTATTACATTATCTCTCAATCATTTCACAAAAAATGAAACACCATGTCATAGAGAAGTTTTGAAGAGAAATCTACATAATTGCTATCCGTCAGATTTTGGTGACTTTATTGTATCCTAGAGGTTAATAGCTATTTAATGTTGTAGCAAACTCTGTTCAAGTGGGGCCAATTATCCCTTAATGAAGTGACTTTCGAAGCACCTAAAGTCACATACTGATTCTCTTTCTCGATTTCCATTCATTCAAAATGCTAGTTTATGGTCCATACAACTGACATGCCCAATGCATAAGTAGTAATGTACTCTGGCAGTAAAAGAAGAATTACCTTTATATTTGAGGCAGCTGGAGGAGAGGCAGTCATATACTTCTGTTTAACAATATGTAGTTTTGCAATGAGGTTGGGCAAGATAGAAGCAAGTCCGGGAACATGGCTGAGCACCCAAATCAATTCATTTTCTACGAAGTCGAGAAGTTGATTGTTGCAAATTAAGATAATAAAAGCTGTCTGCAACAATAGAGGCAAAAAAGTCCTTAATACTAGAGACAAATAAATTAAGTGAATAGCCATAAAGCAGCAAATACGATGATATAATTGCAAATTGAAAAATCTAAGATCTCCAAAAACCTGTATGTGAGTCTTAATAATTGCCTTCCCAATCAGTGTAGCTGAGAAAAACTTCCAAAATGGGATACCAAGTTGTCCACACATGATACCAGCAAGGTCAAATAGAGGATTAGGCACCTGAAAATTATTTCGAATAAGCGGATTAATGTGAAGTTTAATAGTGCAAGTCGCTAAATGAAAAAGTGAAGGCAATAAAAGATGGATTATCCAATTATACCGAGGCTGTGTTTGGATCATGGATTTGGCCCTTTCCCTTTCCAAATCCCTGCCTAAATCCATGATCCAAACACATCATGAAAGAAACTGTTCAAATCTCTCTTTTTTTTTTGGTATAATGTGAACAAATTACCAGGGATATATATTTAAATACAAGAATTATTTGTAATTATGATTATTAATAGTTGATACATAACCAAGGAAGATATGGATATTAAGGGTTGGTTTGGCATGTTGAGAAAAAGTCAAAAAGTTACTCAAAAAGCAAAAGAGTTATCACAAATTAAAAATATAAAAAAAAAATTAATTTCCACAATATTAGTACAATCCAAAGAGCTGAACAGTGATGGTTCTAAAGTGATGGGAAATTTACGCAGTAATGGTACCAAAAAAAAAAAAGATATATATTCATTAAATTGGAGGATACTGTTGGGTCCGTGGGGTTCCACCACGGATCCTGTTTCGATAATCTGAACCATTCAATGTGTAAAACTTGTCGAGTATTATATGCTTGAAAAAAATCACATTGATCAGATATGGATAGCTATGTGATCAAATCAGATTTTATCAAGCCATTTATTTTTCACCGTCCCTTTTTCTCATACAAAACTGTTTTGATCACATAACTATCGATATCCGATCAAAGCGATTTTTTACAGGCATATAGTACTCAATGAGCTCTACACATTGAATAGTTTGGATTATCGAAACGAGATCCGTGGTGGGCCTCCATGAGCCCAACAGTACCCGTGAAGCCTCATGCTATATATGCATATGGTTCAGATTCTTCTCACCATTTAACCATTCCGTACGGTCCTTCTGCAGCACTGTCACTGATGAGTCTAGAATGTAGGCGTAAAAACGTAATTTTGCTATTTTATACAATATTTTAATACACATTTTTCGTAAAAAGACAAAAAGTTATTTTAAACAATCATCTTTTTTTCCTCTACTTTTTAGTCAAAACAGTCAAAAAGTGCACTTATTTAAGACACCCCAAACAACCCCTAAAAGTACCAAGCTGACACTTATTCCTACCTTCTTATTTTGACTTCTACTTTTGTTTTCCAAAGTTGGAAAACTCAGACCGGAGTTGCAACCATGAAGCATATGGGACCACCATCAGTCTAGTGAGTTTGTCCATAGCTTGTGAGACACATTAAATACTATCGAAACTATGCTATTTAGGATGTGTAGGTTAGCAAGTCCCAGATGGTTTCTGTTCTTCCTGTTAAGTCACCAATTTTCTCATAAAGCTTAAGTTGTTACGACATGGGCCCAAGCTAATTCAACACTTCCCAGAAGAGATAGCATGCAAGCTTTATCTTTTGAGGTTGGATTTGGACATACAGGTGTCACAAAACATTGAGCATTTTATGGGGTAAATGTAATAGATACTAAAAATATAAGCCTTTCTTGGCTTATAGAAATAAACATAGCCACGGATTTTGATTTGTCTAGGCATGGGAGAGAAACCTAAGATAAACTCCTTGAGCAATGCAAGTTTGGACCAGTGTTGCAGGATCATCTATCTTTTTTTTTAAGTCTGATTACCATTATTAGAAAGGTTATGCTATGTTGAAAAGTGAAAACAGCTAAGAAGAGTGGAGTCATAGGAAAAACATTCCATATTTTACGCTAACTTACAAAGCTAGAAACAAGAGACATTTCGAAGGTGAAGAGGCTGATCCAACAGAGAACAACAAAGGGCTTTGATTACATATCAACACATGTACTTTGGGAAATCATATCGTTAAGGACTATTAATTTTTCTGAATGGCATCTGCCAAATCCTTCATGGGACAAGGTGATTTTCGATAGTCCAGTTTACTACAAAGAAAAGATACGGGCATAAGTATCTTAAGGTATCATCAAGGTCACATTATAGTACAAAATACTTGGCCAATACTCTAGAATATTGGAGGCATTTATTTTATATTTTGGCTAGCATTTCTGAGTGAGAGTGTGACAGCTTGTTGAGCAGTTGACTTAAGAGGTTTAGAGTTTTGTAATTTGTATTGCGTATAGTGGATTTGATCTCCTCCCTTCTGTGGAGGTAGGCACATTGCCGAACCACATATCTTGTATTGTGTGTGTTTAATTATTTCTCTTTACTGTTTTTTGTGATTGCAACCATTTGATTTCTGCATAACAAGAGGTACCTTTGAGAAGAGGGAATATGCTCTGAGATTTAGGGAAGAGAGTGCGTACTATCAAATGAAGTTCTCAGCGGAAAACAGACGTCGCCGAAGGATCCTCTTTTTAGGAGGTCGTTCATTTGAACTCAAGGAGGAGGAGGAGGAGGAGGAGGACCTGATTGGGTGCCACTGCTTGTCGATTGTTGAGCGGGGATAGGGCCTCCGAAGGGCGATCGTTCTACGTGGCTTTGAAGTGAGTTGGTTATGCTCCAAACTCCGGAAAACATCCCGGGATCCAGGTTGAATGGCATTTTTAGGCCGCATTGTTTGCGGCACACGTATGGTGGCTATGTGGGTTCGAGGGGAGATTGATGGTGGCTCGTTGGTGCACATAGTGGCCACGACTAGTAACAAAAGGGAACAAGTTTTCGTACCGGAATCCAGTTTTGGAGATGGGTGGGAAGAGATTGCTTTAGTGGTTGAGGGTTTTGGGCTTGGGGATGGTTGGGTGAAGAAAAAGAGAACTGTGGAAAAAGAGGTGCCAAAGGAGATGATGCTGAAAGGGGGGCCAGTTTCTAGGTGGGATGAGGGCGACAATGTGGTGCTCACAGGAGAAACAAAAGAGGGGTGGCTAAGGGTGTTGGATAGGGCATTTGTGGGAAGGGTGGGGGTGGTAGGCGAAAAGGGTTTAAGGGTTTCGATGGTAGTCGATTGGGTGCATTGATGGTGGAAACCACACGGAGAGGTAGAGGTCCATGGAATGAGAGGCCAATTTTTCTTGTTCGTATTCTCCTCAAGGAGAGATGCAGAGGCTGTGTTGAGACGCAGATGGACCATTACAAGGTGAGATCTGGTTTTGGACTGGTGGTCATTGGCTACGTTTTGTTAGAGTTCACCGACGTTGAAGCAGAGTAACTGGATTTGGGTTCTGGGTCTGCCAATTCATCTTCGTGGAATGGTGGCGTATTGAGCCATTGGGGATTGGTGTGGCGGCTTCATGGAGGTAGATGAGAGGATAGATTTGTTGGGTTGTGTTCGGATGAAAGTTCGAGGTTTGGCGAATGGGATTCCGTCACAAATTTCACTCCGATGGGGTTGTTGGCGTTTTGTTCTACCCATCTGGTCGGAGACAAGGCCATCGGTGGAGTTTGGCTTACCAATGGAAGCTTGGTGGGGTGTGTGATGAATCGGAATGGAAGGTATGGATTTGGTGCGGCAAGATCGGCAGAGTTGGCGTAGAATTGGGGATTGCCCTACAATTTAGAGATTTGGGGGCCATCTAGGGCGTGATTTGCATCCCATGCCTTTAAGGGGAAGCGGGTTGTCGATGGGTGGAGGATCCAGGGCAACCGACCCATGGGATTGGGCCCAGTGGGTTAAGGAAATAAAAAAGCCCAAAAGGAAGCAGTTGTAAGGCCTGTGGAGGGTATAGTGGGCTCAATTCCAATGGGGCCCAAGGAAATTTATGTGATGGGCCATGAGAACAGGTTGGGCTTGAACTAGCAGGTCAAATGGTGGATTCTTCAGTAAGTCGGGTCCTTGAGTTTTTGCGCGACAGTGTCGAGCAACATCTGTAGACGGTAGGGACGACAGAAGAAGGAGCAGCGACAATCGAGCGAGGATTGCTAACGAGGATGGTGGATGGTTTGCCTGCAATGCACGGGGATGGGTTACTGCAAATGGCATCGACGTCGGGTCTTGAGGTAGTGGTGCGTTGCGAGCTGAACGATGAGATGCATGACTTTGGTTATGTGTTAGAGGTGGTTGGCTGGTGATCTTCATCTGAGTCGTTTGCCTTTAGCGATGACGAGGTGCGACTTGGGCCAGACCAGTTCGGTAAATCGTCGTGGGCAGAGGAGACTAAAGTAGAGCTTGATGAGAGACGGAATCACTGGCCAATGGCGTTACAATCTTTCACTGTGGGTGATGGTGGTCAAGAGGGTAGAAGTGATCTGGGCAGGAATGGTATCCCTTCTGCTGAGGAGGTTTCAGAATGGGTGTTGGAATAAATAGGTGATGTAAGCCGCTTAGTGGGACTATCGTTCGAGGGGCATGAGGAGGAAGCTCTCCGTCTGTTTTCAGCGGTGGAGGCGTCGTGGCAAAAGGGGTCATTTAGTAAACAGGTGGCCAATCCGGGAAGTACTTGCTGTAAAGGGAAATGGGAGCTGAACAATTTATAATGCCGTATAAATTATGACCATGGAGGTATGATGGTAACTCGGGAGTCAAGGAGATCTCGTAGGGAACCACTTTTGTTGCAATTAAGTTAAAAATGTTATCCTAGAATGTGCAGGACTTGAATGATAGGGACAAAAGGGTAACAGTGAAGGCAGCTCTGCGAAGTGCGAAGGTTGATGTGGTGTGCCCGTAGGAGACCAAAATGGAGATATTGGGGAAGGATTTGGTGCGTGAGATTTAGGGGGGAAGGCTTGTGGAATAGTTGCATTTGCCAGCATCAGACACGGTGGGCGGTGTACTTCTCTATTGGGACACCAAGGTGGTAGTGAGGGAGGAAGAGGAGATGGGTGGTTTTTCTGTATCTTACATGTTTAGGTATGTGGAGGACCTGTTTCGGTGGGTGTTTACAGGGGTGTATGGGCCGGTGCGGGGTGTTAATTGGCCGAGTTCTTATTTGAATTAGAGAATATGGCTTTTCGCTGGTTAGAGCCTTGGTGTGTGGGGGGGTGATTTCAATATGGTGCGGTGATAAACAAAGAAGGTAGGGAGTTCTCAGGAATTGAGTTGTATGCGGACTTTTTGTTC